GTAGTCGCAGTTAAGAATAAATACAACTAAATAAATTATGGCTTGTAAATTTCACGAGACTTTTTTTTTTTTTTACAAATCCTCGAACATGTCGTGGCATATTTCATTTTACAACCCAATAATAGAGTTTTTTACGCATTTCTTATATACTAGCTATCCTTTATTCGTTGGAAGATCAGTTTATTTAAGGAATATTGTCGTTCATTGAAGGCCGCAAATCCTTGAAATTCACTTGCTGACACTCACAATCTTGCCTTTTTCAGGTCATAAAATGTGAATATTAATGAAGCATGAGGAACTTCGACAAAACGAGAAAGCAATGAAGTGAGCACTGAGTTTTATAAAAAGAAAATATTTTTTTTTGTTAATTATTGTATGCTTCACAATAAATTCAATGTATTCAAATTCAGGAGCGATAAGCATAATTAAAGGACAAACTAAAAGAATATCTGGGCAGCCAACTGCATACGCTGCGCCAAACTCACATTGTAACGCTCTCACACGCCCGTGGGCTCGCCTTTCTATTTGTGTATTTATTTTATTTCGTTTTTATGCATATTTAATATTCTTTTGATGCGCTTTCCTTTGCTTTGCCTTGCTGCTACAAAGTGGAAACAATATTTATTTTGCATGTGAATGAGATTTTGAGCGCTGCTGCTGCTCCTTGTTCCCATTTATTTGTAACCAACTAACCTTTCTCAAGTAAATTTAACATATAGCATTGGATTTATATGCTCTTATGTGTGTATACATACATTTATACTCACATACACATACATATGTATATATTATATTGCTGTATTTATGGCTTTATGCCTGTGATTTCCATTGCATTTATTTATATTAGATTTTCCACGGCACAAAGCCCTAAACAAATTGGCAATCGGTTCTCCGCTTTTCCACATATATGTAGATGATAATTTATTTTTTATTTTTATTATTCGCTTTACTTAGAGTTCGGTTATGTCTTTTGTTATATCGCGCCTTCTTACTTCTGCAATATATTCGGACTGTTTGTGGCTGCCTTTCTGGTATAATTTGCATAAGTTCATAGGTAACTATTGTAGAAAAGTAAGGAAAGGAGGAAAAACGGTCAGGTGATATACAATAAAACTAAGTTGGAAAATATAGACGAGAACTTGCTTCAAAAATATTAGAAAATCAGTAGAAATATTAGAAAATCAGTAGATCCCTTGTAAAAGTCAAGAGATATACATTGGTTTGTGCCATGACAGTTCATTGACATACCAAATATTGGCTGAAGTAGCAATGGTAATATTAGCATGAATGAAAAAATCGCTGAAATAGTTCTCGGAGATAATCTAGTTAACAGTAGATATACGTATATATATACTTACACTTTCAAGTACTCAACTTCAACTTTCAACAAACCTATTATGTAGGAATCAGTTTAATGGACTTTGAGTGTATCAGGAATAATATTGGTAGAACTGGAATTGGTACCTCTGAATTCAAAGTAACCCAAGTGATCGCACAATATAATTGTGATCATTATGAGACAACATTTCTAATGGCGTGAAATATTATTGAGAACTTGAGGCTTTGTTGAAAACCAACATGTTCTATTCTATCTATGATTGCATGACCTATTCACGGAAAAAATAAGTTAAGTTTGGAACAGCCGGTGCCATAATGTTCGAATTGAGAGAGTGTTTGTGATTATTGATCAGGTCAGACATAGCAAATATTAATAATAATAATATTAAGAAGATAGTTGGTAGAGCTTTTTTTGAGCTTTAAGCTTCCATCTGTAGCGATGAAAAGCTCTCTTGATGCACTCAACTAGAGGAGCGACATCTCACAAAGCTTTACGCTTCTTATGAGCTTTAAATTTGGTTATGCAGTGGTGAAAAGCTCTGTTGATCTGTTAAAGTAAACAACCCATAGAGCTTTAAGCTTCTTGGATAGCAATTTTAGACTCACTAACGAAAAGCTTAGCCAATTTTAGTCCATTTCCTCATTATTTTATACGGGTAATGAACGTCTAACTTCTGTGAAACAGTTTGAAGTACTGTCATATGATCAATGAGTGTCTCGTTGAAGTGTCTGTTAGTGATTTAAGTCTTGCCAGTTTACGTTTCCTGCGTCTTAGTCTAAAATCATGCAAAATTAGGTTAAAAGCGGTTTGAAATGTCTCAGAAAATATTACGTAAATCAAATTCTTGAATACCATATTGTTATCACAGCAGTAATATTAAACCAGACATACTCAATCTACGTTTTCATCATCTTTCTATGCGAGTCTTGAGCCTACAGTGAACAGTATTAGGCCACCGCTATGAACACCACTCGCCAATCACGCTTCTCCCGAACAAAACATATCCTTCAAGTCATAAATAACCCTAGCCATTATTTTTGCAGAAATCTCAGTAAGTCAACGACTAAGTTTAGACAGCGCCAAAGCAACAAATCATTGCCACTTCAGAGCTATTTTGCATAAACGAGCAGTTAAGTGAGCTGTAGGTACACACACAGGCAAAACAAAAAAATACCAAAAAATATACTGCATTTCAACAATTCACCAGCGACAATTTGTCTTGGCCATACCTTATATCCAGCCAGCACCACTGACCCATTTTCCTTTCATGCGATCAGCACAAAGAAAGAATTGCATATCACTAAATGATTTTCCTTTCTGTTCATTATTTGACACATTTACAGCTACGTTTATGATGCATCACAGCCGACAGCGCAATAAAAATAAATAATAAAAGTAAAAAAAATAACATAAAAAATAAAATATAAAAAAAAATTTAAAAGATTTTACAACTTCTTTTCGCCATTCACCCAATTGATGTTGGCGCATGCGCAGCCACAGCCAAGCAACAGCGCGCTTAAGTCCAGGCTGTAATGCATTGTTCGCCTTATTCTTGTTGCTGTTGACCATTGTTAAAGTGAAATGTGGCTGAAATATATGGAGCAGTTAAGTATTTGGCAATGCGCGATATGTCAAAAATGCCCGTCCACCGATTTTGCAACGCACAACGTCGCATTGTGCGCCAAACATTGCGGTAATGCCATGTGGCTGGCATGTCCGTCCCGGCGACAGTTCGTGCGCCTGTCGATTATGACCAAATTATAATGAGTATACTGGAACGCCTGGCCGGCCGGGCTGTGTATGAAGCGTCGTTTGCGAGTAAAGCAGGTCACTTTTTGTTTTTTTATTATTTTTTTCGGCGTTTGCTTCCTTGACAATATTTTTCGAGTGCGGCTACTTGTTGCAAGCCTTCCTGTGCGCCCTCGGCTGTGTTTTATGGCCGCGCATGTGCGCGCATTTGTCCCAATTTCGCTAATTTTATCTTTACATTATGGCATTTTCTTCCGCGAAATTTACACGGCTGCGAAATTGATATATTCTTTTATATATAAGGCAAATTTATCATATTTTTGGCTTAATTTTACTTACTTTGTTGCGGTGCGGTGCGTACACTTGGCTCTACACTGTCATATTATTGAACGATTTTATTGGGTCACAAATGTGTTGACAGCCGCGTTGCAGTGGCGGCTTGATAAATGCGCTTTAATTTATTAAAGGTCGGGAAGGCAGCTCACGTTGTGTCGAAAATGCGCGATAAAGTGCAAGCGTTTTAGGCTATCACTCAACAGTACTCTGGAATCTGGAAAGAATAAAATAGAAGCTATGTGCATAAATACAAAAAAAAAAAAAAAAAAAAAATTTTATAAACATTGAATGGTGCATTGCAACATGTGTAGCAACACAAAATGTTGCTTAATACTCGTGGCAACTAGTTGCTGAAGCATTAGTCTACACAAAGGCCATTTAAATATAAAAGAAAGTTTATAAACACTGAATAGTGCATTACAACATGTTTATCAACACAACATGTTGCGTAATGATTCCCAGCAACATGCTTCTGAAACTGTCTGGCCTACAGAAAACGCAAATTTTGGCCGAAAGACCATAAGCTTTAGCTGAGATTTTGTAGACCAAGAAATAAATTTAGCACGAATTTGTGCCAATTCTTCTACCAATTTCTTTGATGACTACTGCGTATTGCTGATGCCTCTAGCCTATTAAGGGGTTACATGGGTTTTCTCTGGTGAAAAACCGCTTTTATTCAACAATTAGGTTGTTGACACATTTTTTCCAAAAAAAAAAAGAAAAAAGAAAAAAAGATTTCTTTAAAAATTTGCCACATTTTTTTTTTCTAAAAGTTGTAATCATCATAAAAATCCTTCGTCCAAGTTTTTAAGAATTGTATCTCAAATAAATGTAATAATAAATAATTTCGAGAAAACGCGTTTAAAGACGGCGCAAGCTAGCCTGCAGTGCACAAGTTTTCAAGGCTGTATCTCCGAAACTATTACTAGGATAAATTTGAAAATTTATGCAAATATTGTGTTTTTTTTTTTAATAAATTCCAATAATACCCAGATGATCATATTTATCCTATAAAATTACTTATATGGAATGCTCTGCTTAACGCTCAAACAAATCATATTCCACCTTAGATTCCCCACACCACTACATAATTGCCGCTAGCTACACCAAGCAACATGTTGCGGCAACATGCTGCTTTTACCGCACTTTACTGCTAATATTCACCACACTTTACTATTAATATTCACCACACACCTTGAGCGCTCAATACGCTACCTTTCGCCGGCATTGCGCTCTCATCGATCACTCTCTCTTTCTCTCTCACCTGCCGGTAAACTTCAACTTCACTTTCGCTCAACAACATTCACTAATCAAACCAGATCAGTTTCTGATACTTGGACGCAGCGCTACACATATGTATGTGTGTGCGTGTAACAGCGCTTCCGCTTGCCTGCTTGTCTGCCGGTTCGACAGTGATCGAAGACGGCAGCAGACAATGTTGCCTCGCTCGCGTTGCACGGTTTATTTTGCTTGCCGCAAATGCTTTACCGCCACCATCAGCCCTGCCATAGCGATCAGCCAACTAACTCCGTGCTGCTTATACCGGTGCTGCATCATTCCCTTGTTGCATTTCCACTTGGACACGTGTGGCATGCGGCATTTCACCGGCAACTCAAGCTAAAAATAATTTCGTTGCATGCATTTGTTCGTACGTTGCACTTTCGGCGTGTTAGCGGTGCACAAAGTGAGTGACAGGTAGACAGTCTTGATTCTGAAAATTGAACAGTTACATTTTAAAAATGCAAAGTGTATGAATTGAACTCAAGTGTAGTGGACTGTTGAAATATGTTGCGGTGCTAAAGAGCGTTATGTGCGTGTAAATAAAGATTACTCCAAAAAATTTATAAAAAATTAAGCGCTTTTGCTTCTTTTGTGTACTCGGCAAACGAAGTTTAAAGTGGACTGTTTGAAAATACAAATCAAGTGCATCAAACATTGAAGAACAGTGCAGATCTTGCGTTCTCACTAGACTGCAGTTTCTAAATTTGGTTTTAGTCCACAAATTGCGAATTCAGTTGAGATCTACTTGACTTTTTTCGAAATTTGAAGTGCTTATAAAGTGAAGAGAGTTCAATTTATTATTGATCAGAGTTCGTGTCAAACAATACTCACCAGCAAATATAGTCTTATTGACAACAGCAGCACGACAAAATGCGAGATCGTAAGTTTTAGAACAATTATTATTTATTACATATAATTTTTTGTGATCGTAAAATCTAATGATCACTGATCGCAACAGTTTGAGCTAGTAATATAAGATAACTGTTATGCTTCAGCTACCAAACTAATTACGTGATCGTTAGCACAACAGTCGTATATATAATAACATCGCAGCATATTTTCCCATAAACCAAAAATTTCACATCGACGATCAGTATACGATCGTGTTTGCAATTTCTATTGTCTGCGCTCGCCAAGAATGCAGACAGCAAACAAATCCTCTGCTTGCAAACACAGTCTCCTCGACAAACCCTGCGTGATAACTACAAAGAAAAACGTAAATATGGTACCATGAAGCAAACAGTTAAATCATGGCGTAACGATCAGCGATCGCAGAATAAACAGGAGTCTTCAAATAAAGAATTGAAATTGAAGAATTGAATTGTTTAAAGCTGGTTAGCAGTTTGTTTAACTTATTTCTATATAATACGGTATAAGACTGTACAAACGCTATTATTCGACAATTGTTTAAACAGATTGGCGGTCACAAGGCGCTGTTTTATGTTAATTGAAAAAATTAATATATGAAACACTTTGTGTTCATATGCTATTTCGAAAAGTCTGGAAGGGTTGAGATTTTGAAAAAGTGTGCTGGCATTATTGTAGCAAAGATCAATAGGTGTTCAGTAACTTTATATAAAACTTGATCACGATTTTCGGGAGACTGATCGTGTCAACTACTAAAATGAAGATCATAATCATATCTATTTAACGAAATATTTTAAGGATCTATATTTACTTCACTTGTTGACTGATATTTTTTAGATATTTTCATATATAGTGTAATCTTTCTAAACGATTTTTTCTCTGCTCAAATATCATACTGAAAACTGAAAAGAATATCATACTGATCTACCGTGAGTAATGTTATTTTATTAAATATAAACTTGTTATGATATTTCGCGAAAACTGCTAGAAGACAAACTATGGGCACCAAAGATTATCTGAAACATTTTCTAGAATGATCTTGACCGCGCGATCGATGTTCGTGTGACGAATAATAATCGTTATCTTATTGAGTGACCGACAACTGCTAAAATACTAATTATTGTGCGCAAAAAGTTATTGTAATCATATTTTAGAGTGATCTTGACCTCGCGATCGCTTATCGTTTCATGAGTTAAAGTGGTGATTGATTTTTTTGCGTTCACTAGAAATAATATAGAGTTATTATAGATATTAGAAATAATAGTTGACTAATTAATTGATATCTGGATATTAAAATTGCTCTTAAATGTTATTTGATTTTTGGTAAGCTGCTTTCATGATCAGTTTGCTCTATTAAGCTTCTTCTTAGACTATTTCTTGCTGTAAAATATAGAAAACTTGTCAGAAACAATATAAAAGTTTAAACTTACTTTAGATTTTGAGTGAATTAACAATAAAAAGGGCACATGTTGCATACCTGAGATCGCGCTTAGTCTCTTGTTTGCTGATCATGTTATATTTTGAGTCCATACGCGATCTTCCTGTGTTAATTATGCGATGTGTTATTGAAATGACGAAAATGAAATAATGCTTAGATAAGTATAACTTTTATAAACTTTTCTTTTTAATATTCTAAGCATAGAATAAATCAGAAAATCACTTGATAACTAATAGAGGGATTTTGATTTTCGTTTTCTGTTCAAGTAATTTGCTGACATTAATATAATATGTGGTAATTTAAATGAAATGTTTGTAACTTCTTAAGTGCTTAAAGCTTATGGCCTTTCAGTAAGTAATTATTTAGGAATAATGAACGCTGATCTCTTACGCGTTATTGCTGATATTGCTGCATTAATGTGGGTTTCAGATTTCAAGGCTGGGCTCACTAATGTTATTAAGTATTTTAAAATGCAACCACTTCACTTTAGGAACAAAATTTAGAAATTACAATTGAGAAAACAAGTGCTAATGATCAGTGATCTTGTTGCTGACAAATCAAGCGCTTGCTTATTGTTTCAGTGCAAAACATCCACTTAAAACCATTGTCTTTAGTATACCAGTGATTATGTCTTTCAATTGAGTAAAGTGTTTTAGTTAAGGGAAAGCGATCTTTAAAGAATCGTATTCATTTGAGTAAGGTCTTTTAGTAAAGGATCGGCGATCATAAAAGGATTGTGTTTATCTTATTTTGTGCGTTGTCTTTAGTATACTTGTTATAATGCCTCTAAATTGAGTAAGGCGTTTTAGTAGAGGATCAGCGATCTTAAAAGGATCGCACTGATCTCACCTGCTTAATGTGCGTGTGGAAAAGTAGTACAAACAACCCTTTTGTTATATTTCGCAGACCTTTCTTTGAGTTGGATCTGTAATAGGGATATTTTTAAATAATATTATGTAATAATTGCTAAGACGCAGACACACCAAAACAAATTTACACATTAAATATTGAACACTTCAGGCAGTTTGAAGTAGTTATCGATGTGTGAACCCGGCTTGGGCAAATATTTGTAAAGGTGAAGCAAATATGAACCTAAATGTATATGGAAGCGTGTAGAGGTGGTAATTAAAATAAAATTTTCGGTTACTTACGACTTTTGTATTTCTACGAGATTTTTGCTTCTTCGTCTTTTGTTTTCGTTTGGATTTCTTCGAGATTTTTGCTACATACTTCTTCGTGTTTTTTGTTTGCTTGGTTAGTTTTGGTTTTTATTTTTGGATACAGAAATTCGACACTGTTACAAACACTTCTCCTTTGTTTTTGTTTCTTGCCGTTTTTTGCTTTTGTTTTGATTTTTCGGTATTTTGGTCCATGTGACGCATGTTGCCTGGAATTCGGCATTATGCAATATTGGTCAGTAACAAAAGATCTGTTGGAGAAAAGCAATTAAGTGAACAAAAATCGTAAAATTGTTACTCAATGAGTATAAAATGAGCGCCAAATGAGGCAATAAATAAGAAACAATAACAAATTTTACACGCAGGAAATAAAGGGATTGTTTTGGTGCAGCATTGCTTATAGCAAATCTCCAGAAAAAAGTGCGAAAACAATTGCTGAGTGGCACTTGAAAGTGCTACTTTCAACAGCTCACAAAATCAACAAGCAATGAGTGACGATTATGAAAGTCATAGAAGAAGCAGATACATACATACAGACACACATAATAAAGCAATTAAAATGTCATTGCACAAACCTACAAGCCAGCACAATAACAACAAAAGCAAACAGATGTAAACAAAACCAAAAACAGAAACGACGAAGAAAATATGGAAGGAAAAAAACTGAAGAAAAAAATCTTAAGAAAACACCGCCAAACGCCTAACAAAGCCAAGGTGACCAGACTATGACCGACCGTCAGGTAATTTAAAGGCGAGCAACTATCTAAGCGGCAACCAAAGCAGGCATGCCGTTAACGAGCGCTGCACACACACACACACACATGAATGCTGTTGTGGCATTCCGGATATGAGTGCGGGTTTTTTGGGTCCCCAGCCAACAGCTGGCCACAAAATGTGTGGAAGTGAGGCGTTGCTGCCGTTGTTGTTGTGCACTTTTTTATTTGCTTAACAGCCAATCGACGGTCATAAAAATATGATTAAGCGCGCATGCGTGCCACATGCAACACACCAGCGGCAGCAGCAACAACCACAGCCATATACGTTGGTTATATGAAAATGCAGGTCATACACAGTCGATAAATAAATAAATATGTGCTGGAGGAAATTTTTTATGGAAAACAAATAGTTAACAAAAAATACAAGAAACACTCCGTGGTCCGTTTTTCTACGCTGGCGGCAAAAATGACATAAAAGTCGTAATCATTGATCAAATAGCGGTTGCTATCCAGCGTGCGTACGGCCTTTGTTGCAAAGGGATGGCCGGCAAGTCAGTTAGGTTTCAAACTCAAATAAACATGCATACACAAATAAAAGAAATAAAAAAATACAAGAGTTTTCAGTTTTTATATAAAACAAAGTCAATAAATAAAGCATTACGAGAAATTGTGTAACCATTGCGACAATGCTTTAAGAAAATAAGTATTGTGTGACAACTTTTTGTAAAATCAATTATAGTTTTAGGCTTTTGTTTTGATATTTCAAGTGCATGAGCGCATATGTAGGCGTATTGTGTAGAATTGTGGAAAAAATTGAGCAAATAGCACTTGTGAACAATGCGCATGCGCCAAAGCAGTATGAATAGCTGATGAGTTTAACAGTTTAATGTCATTTAATAAGTGGTGTTTTAGTGTTAATAATAATTTTTTGGTTTTTGTTTTTAGTCCCGTAAAAATCCGGGATTCGGAAACTTTCGGGATCGAAATTTAAAATTGAATTTTATGAAATGGTATTTTAGTGTTAGTATTAACTTTAATTTTTTAGTCCCGTAAAAATTCGGGATTCGGAAACTTTCGGGATCCCGAAATTAAAAATTGAATTTTATGAAATGGTATTTTAGTGTTAGTATTAACTTTAATTTTTTAGTTCCGAAAAAAATCGGGATTTGAAAAACGAAACGGGATAATGAAAACGAAGTTAAAAAAAAATTTAATTCAATGGTGCTTCAATGTTAACAATAATTTTTAATGTTTTTATATGAAATTTTAACATTCATATTAATTTTTTCGTATTGAAAAATCAGGATACCAAAAAAATTAGCGGGATGCTAATAATAATAAATTAAATTTGAAAAATAAAAATAGAAATTGAATGATGTTTTAATGTATAGGGAAAGAGATACCGAAAAACAAACAGGATACCGAAAAGGAAAATAAATTTTGTAAAAAAATCGAAATTAAGTTGTATTTAAATCTTAACAATAATTCTCAATTTTTTCTGTCCCGAAAAAAAATTAATTTCGAATCCCAAAATCTTAGTGTTAACATTAATTTTAAAATTTCGAAAAAATCGGCATTTCGAAAAATAAACAGGAACCCGAAATTAAAAAGTAAGTTTAATAAATACCTTTTTAGTGTTAACTGTACTTTAGATTTTTTTGTTCGAAAAAATCGAGATACC